AGGTGTACAAAGTTGAAAACTAGCTGCAATATTAACTTAATGGGTGACGAAGACCAAGATCAAGACGACGCGAGACTGCAACAGAAATTCTGTTGCACAAAAGTATTTCCGGATACAGGATCTTGAATCGTCTGTGTCTTTTTTTACAAGAAAAGATAAAAAATGGTGGAATATATATATAACACACTTATATCATATTGGGAAAAGATCGTTAAATTTGTCGATGATTCTTTAATTTAATCGACCAAAGAGACTGGCATATTACTAAAATACTTTAATGCATCTAGTAAATCCTCAGCAGTCGATAATACTTCACACTTCGAGCTGTTAAAAATGAAAAATATCAAACGCTTCGATACAGGACACCGATTCCTGTTTTAAGATGAAGTCGTGAACGTTTTATAGCCGATCGTTCGTCTGAAATTTTTATGTCGATTCCATTCAATATACTCTTTCGATTAAATCGATTAGTTAAATAACTAATCAGTGACAAATTTACGGCTTACGACAAAAATACATTGCCGACATTATCAAACGATAATATACTTTGCTATATAATTTCCTTTTACAATCGAATAAACTGTAAAAACAAATTCTGTCTTTACGGTTCTGAGCGGAAGGAGAGAAAAACGCAGTCTTTCTCTCTCAAATATAAACTTCGAAATCTTCGAAGAATGCTCGTTGCAATTAGGTCCACGATGGCATAAAATCGATCGACTCGGAGCATCTTCGAAACGAATGTTCGGCCGGCGTCGAAATGTAGGCAGATGTATAAAGTTCTTTTGCTTATGCGTGTGAGTATATTTGAAGTCGGCCTGTGTATCGAACGAACCTGAATCGGTCTCCCTAGTCGACCTTCTTCCCAGAATCGCATAATAGCTCGGTAGCTGCATCTATATGCAGCGCGTTGATACAACTCAAACTCGTCAAGAGTGCAAAGAATTCGGCTATTCGCGAAACGTGGCACGAATGATACGCTTCGTTAACGCGAAAAGCAACGTTGTGCGACTTGGATTTTCCTAAGACCGATTGTCCTGATTGCGGGAGGATTCCGGAGACGCGCTACATCTTACATCACGTGTTTCCGCGCGAGGAAGTCTGCAATTCTGTTTCGTTCTCCGAATCATCTTAGACGCAATCGTGGATTCTTTAATCTTTTTATCGGCAACGAGTTTCTTAAGTTTGAGAAAATATAAAAGAACCGTTATCGATATGCATGATTTCTGATTTTAAGTGGATGTCAAAGTATTTTTTGTAACGCTAAAGATGTTTTTGCTCGTTAATAAGAGTGAAACTGCGACACAAAGAAGATAAGGATCGTAGGAAAGTTAAGCTTCCTAGGATTTGCGAACGTGTACGTGAACGTCATCCGTTTTTCACCGTCTCTCGCACGTGGGAATCTCGACTTTGCGACCAGATAATCTTTATCGCGTGTCGAGACATCGTTGAACTAAAAGGTTCGCGCGATTCTGTCAGCTTACTTCTTCGGGCTTAACGAAAATTTAGATCGTTTCTCATCGATTTTCTGATATTTCGTCGTCGCATTTCTCCGGTTAGAAGGCTGACAGTGTCCTTAACATGGACTAAAGACGCACTAACCGAGTATTCGTTGGACCGCTAACCGGAATGCGCGAGCGCTAACTCTTGAGCGTCTCGAAGCTCCGCGAAGCGGTTGGGTGCTCGACTCCGACGATGAATAAGAGAAAGAGAGGCCGACGTAGAAGAAGGAGAGACACGGATAGCGAGAGAAAAAGAGAGAAGAGAGTGGAACAGAGGCCCGCGGGAATGGAGCCTCCGTGCTCGCGATTGAAGAAGATGGCAAATGAGCGAGACAAAGAGGATACCAGGGAGTAAGAGAGAGAAAAAGAGAGAGAGAGAGAGAGAGAGAAAGAGACGGTCTCGAAGTACGTGGAGATTCGAGGCACATTGCGCCCAGACCAGCGGCACGAAAATTTGGTGAGGCCTCCTTGCCTGCGGACCGACCACATTCCCTCCCCACCCGATTTCCTCGTACGAGAACCTTATCCGCCTGGCTGTTTCGCCGTGGTCCACTCTATCCGCGTGCGCGTTTATATCGACAGCCGGATCATCGGCCCGGTTTGCATTAACTGTCGCAACCGCGCAGTCCCGCTTGAATGGGAAACCCGTTAAACGAAAACGAACGGCCCATGAAGGAATTCTTTTCCAGAGTTACGAGACCTACCATCTCGAGGATCGTTTCCGTTGACGTTTCGTCTAGTTCACGCAATCTATTTCGACAGATTCATTGGGAACAGCAACAGGATAATTTTGAATAACTTTGTAATTAGTAGGAATTTTCGTGAGATCGTTAGTGGGAAAGGGACAAGTTTGACTTTATTTCTGCCGTTTAAGACTCCGAGAGCGAATCGAAGGATCAGAGAGTTTTGTTTCGAATCGACGATTGTTCGATTGTGCTACGAGGAAGATTAATATTTCTCGTGAATAAGTTTACACGAATAAGGCTCACCTAGCGATCGCGGAGTGCGTGCGGAGTCGCCACGTGTTAGCTGCAGCTTAGCGGCTCCTCGTGCCGCATCCCGGCAGCCGCGTTATCGCCTTATCAAGCCCGCCTTCTGCCCTTGTCGCGTGTTAAGCTTGGCCGTGCGTGTTCTGTGGCACTGGCCCCTCCTCTTGTTACGTTCGCACACTAATCGTTAGATCCTGCGTTTGAACCACCCAACGATCGACGGAGCACCGTTTATCATCGACACCGGTCGCCGTTCGTATTTTCGGTAATTATTCTCCGTGTAAAATTATTCTCGATACGATGAAACGAGATCCGTCACTCAACACAATTCACCGGTACCGCGACTTTTCTGCGTGGCGTTTACATCGATTCAATCGCGACGATCGCGCGACGACAACAGATGATCGCTCTCGAGTGGCATACCGCGATTTGGGGCAAACGATCCGATCGGTAACTGTGATTATTCGCGCGGCTCGTTCGGCGGTCGTTCAATGAAGAGTAACACAAAGAGTCCATGAAATATCGTATTTCTCACGGCAAAGAGTCTGTGAACCGATAGTTCTGTTCCGTACGATGGTTTTGCGCTAGGGAAAAGATCGCGCGCGATACAGAGACACGACGAGAGAGAACGAAAATCAAACTCCCGTTCGATCGTAGCCGATGCTGCGACTGAGCATCGATAACGGCAGTGTGGTACCGGTAACGGCAACGGCAGCAGCAGCAACGACAAGTAGTGTATCCGCCAAAAGATCCGCGACGTACGTTCGTCAATTTGTCCTCTCCTCCGCTACTACTACCTCCACCTTTCCTCTCTTACTCTTTCTCGCTCTTTTTCTTTCCCCCCCTTTTCTATCCTTCTTTTTCACCCTGCTCTCCCTTTCTCTGTTCCTCCACTTACGAGAGAATACGTAACCACACTGGTTTACGGTTCCGTTCGCGACGAAGATGTTCTGCGGACTGATAACCTGCCGTCTACTTACCTCCGGCAAGCGCCCCTAACGCGCCGAACTCCCTAGCACGACAGGTGCTCCGAAGGAGGAGTGGG